AAAAAAAACAATTCATTCATTACATTCGTCAATTATTTAATTACAATATAAGGCCACTGGAGTTACTGACGGCATTATTACAGCAGACATGGTCTTTGAATTCTTGCATTATTATTAGTGCATATTTACCACATTAGTAAACGGAAGGCCAAAAGACGGTATTTTTTGCATGATATCGTACAATAGCGCTGCATGGTCACAATGCAATCATCCACTTTACAGGTTCAAGTGCTACAACAGATCCCCAGAAAATCTGTATTAATGACATGCATTTGGTTGATATAAAACTCTATATGTCCTGCCGCAGAGATATAACTCTAAACTCTCAAAATATCAATGTTATTGCTGCAGCTTGCACCGTAACAAATTAGCATACAAAAATATAACATCACAGTAAAAATGTTTTACTACATAGGGCATGGTTGGAATAACAGATGGCTACAGGGGACAATAAATAACCCTTTTTAATACCGAGAGAATATTTACCCTCCACTTAGGCCAAAGATGTAAACTGATGGAAAATTGAAGAGCTGCCACTTCTTAAGTGTTTAACACATAAAGCATTAGCAATGCATCAAACGGGCTATTTCACCGATCATGCATGATCGACACTAAAGCCGTGGAAAGCTAGGCAAAGAAGAGCCTAAGATTGCCGTGGACTATGAATTCCATGCGAGATGCTTCAAACTTACAAAGGCATAGAGTGCTCTTCTATGGAGAGCAGGTTGACCCACTATCACCGTTTTAGCCTTAGAACATATACAGTCCTGAGTCAAATTTCCTCCTTTTGTGAAGTTTCCTACTGATCATTTGGTACACTTCACGTATCACTTAGCACTGTCCACACAATAATGTACTATGCATACTCTTAAAAAAAACTTTTATGGACTACTGTAAACTTAAACCCATTATTTTTTTTAAATCTACTGTTTTTTTCTGACTTGATATGCAATAAATGTGCGATGGTTCAAGTTAAAAGCTGCACAGTGCAATGAAACTGGCAATGCACGTTCAGAGCTGCAGACTCTTGTAGCATCTTATCATCTTAGGCCTGAATCACACAGGCCTAAGGGGCTGGTCAGTGAACCACTGGCAACCTCTGGTTGCTAAGACAAAATGTGTACTCCCCAACTAGTTGGCAAAAGGTTTCTAGGAGTTGCTGACTGTCGCTAGGTCAGATTATTTTCAAAAAGGGTGGTGCACCAAAAACATTCTTGCAATTGTTTTGGTCAGTTTTCATAAAATACACCGACTTGTCTGCGAACACACTGTGAAACTTGAAAGAATGTGATGCAAACCAGAGAAAAAGAACATTTGCCTTCAAAGAAAAAGTTGTGCCTTATCACTGCAACTAACATTTTTTGAAAGGTGCTTTAAAGGTAAACGTTCTCCATGTCTTGTTTGCGTCACACTGGTTTCACAACCACTTGACAAATAGTGTATGAGTATTTCTAGCCAAGATTACATTTACCAACCAACTAGCAACAAACTGCCTGCAACCGAAGCAAACTCAAGGTTTTCACTCACTGACCGGTCTCTTGGGCCTGTTTCCATGGAGTTTTAGCAATCAATTTCACAGCCACTGCTAGCATCCTCCAGCAACCATCTGCAACCTGTCGAGGAATACACATTTTCCCCTTGTGACCGGTTGTTGCCAGATGGTCACCAACAGGTCTTTATGCCTGTGTGACTGAGGCCTTACATTCATTCAATTTGGCAACAGAAGGGATCTTGACTACTCAAGTCACAGCAATGACACTGTATAAAATGTCTTTTTCTTTTCCTACTCTTTCATTTTATGAGCATATATTCTCAATCAATAACAAAAATCCATTTCAGCACAAAAGTCCCCTAACATCAGTTTATAACAGAACTCCTTTCAGACTGATGGGCAAACAGCCTGAGAAGGTTAATGGTGAGAAAAAGGTCGCAAATTGCTTCTTTCAATCTCCTCCATTATCTGCTTCTGCTGTCACAAACTCTGCTCTTTATGTCTTATGTTCATAAATCAAACCCAAAGCACACAAGTATACAAGTATTCATCTGAGGAGGTTTTGGCTGGCGCGAGTCCAAAAGATAAGCCCTCCACTGAACACCTTTGACACACATAGAAAGAAGAGGTGATAAAGAATTTGAAGAGGACCAGAGAATCAATCAGGAAACCATCTGGCATCCCAGCAGCCTGAAGACACCGACAACCGTCTGCTCCTCCACTGTGTTCCCCTTGGACTCCCTGCAGAGCCTGCAGGGCAGCCACACTAGTGACCACAGCGGCGCTTCAGAGGGATCTATAGTTTTCTGATCCTAACAGATGGACACAGAACGAGATCAGGGCAACCCCACAGAGCGATTCGTAAGGGAGAACGCTTCCACGTCTGTGCATACGAATTGCCTCAAAATTACACAATAATTAAACTCATCTCTAAAATAAATCATTTAAAAACATACTTGACACACCACATGAAGTGAATCCTTAAATTATGGCTATAATTTAGTCTTTTCAAGCTGCATTTCATTAAAGAGCACAAAACAGAATTATGCTGGGGAAAAAAATTATTTTAAAAGCTAGCAAAACGGTCTAAGCCATTTTTACCTCCGATTCATATTCCTACAAAGCACACAAGAACAGAATACATATGGAGATTCTCCTGTTATCAGTAGTTGGTGATTACGTTGAAGAGGTACTAGGTACTTGCACAATGCCTTTTTTTTTTTTATTAAGTCCCTGGTACGTAGCAAGGAGTGACAAGCACTTTAAATGTCCTGAAAAGGCTCTCAACTAAATACCTGAAAAATTGTTCCACTTCCTACTCAGAAAGAGAGCCCAATACAAGAAGGGAATGTACAGAAAGGAGATTTAGCCCCCTCTAGAGGATAAGACAAGAATATAAAATAACGCCTCATGACATGCCTCTGAACATCACTGCAATTCCAGATGCTAGCTCGTAAGATGGTCAGAGTTTGCTGACAGATTTATGAAGCCGCTGTTTTCTTTCTATATGGATGCACAGCTTTCTTTGTGCCTTTCCCTCTTTCTGGGTAAAGCTTTGCATGCAAACTAAAAGACTGCAACAGGCGTGGAGTAGGTAAATGAAAAACAGCCCCCCAAAAATATTCCCATGTGCAAAGCAGCACTAGTTTCCAAACATCTCTTTAATGAGAAAAATAATGCATAGTCCTATAGGCTTGGTTTTCCCAACAAGTGTATATGCAGTATCCAGTAAGTACTGTAGAAAGTAAATACAGATAGATTTCTCCCAGTGAGCAAGAATTTATAGGAGGTTTAAGTTTGAAAGGAAGCACAACCTCATTTGACGTCCGTTAAGGTTAAGAAAAACATATCCTAGGGTTGGAGTATTACATTTTCTCTTCAAAGAACCACTTCTGGTGGAGGCTATCAGAGCAGGGTTGGAGTGAGGGTGCTGGTGTCCCGTTGTCTGTATTGTCTATTGCCTCAACACACTTCTGGCTGTGGACGTGGTACAAACTCCCATCCTGAAAAATTGGCAAAGTATTTTCAAAATGGATATTAGCAATACATGTCTAAAGAACAAAGAGCAGATCTGCTGTTACTTTCATTATTCTTTATACATCAGAGTTTTAGGAGCATCAGAGCGTACAGAACACAGAGGACCTGCCCAGATTGATCTGTACTTTTATTTTTTGCTTCACTTTTCATTTTCCCTCCTTCTACTGTCCAATTTCCCCCTCCTCAAAGACATACCCCCCATACCCCGTTTTACATTCATTCAATGTTTTTAGGATCCATTTACATTTAGACTGTGTCATGTCCCGACATTCAAATCACACTAACTTCCAGTATTGTGTTTTGAATCCTCAGCTTGCTACTAACACACAATAAATAAAAAAAAATATATATATTTATTAGGGGTGCAACGATACTCGTATCGATATTAAACCGTTCGATACAGTGCTTTCGGTTCGGTACGCATATGTATGAACAATACAAAATTTGTAATTTATTTTATCAACTTTCCTTCTGACGATGCTGTCTGTGTTGAGCGCAGATT